GAGTGAGGGAGTGAGGAGTGATAGAGGAGCTACACTGACAGAGTGAGGGAATGCTGCAGTAGAATCAGGGCTCCTGTAATTCTCGTGTCTTTGCACCCCACTGTGCATCAGTGTCAGATTTCCCCCCTCCACCCCGTCTATCCCACACGCCTCCCCAGCACTGCTCAATAGCTCTGCAGGAAAGCCCTTCCTAATTAGGGTCGCTAATTAGGGACTTTCTGGCTGGGGTCCCCACCACACCTGCATGTTCATGTGAGGCCATGTGCACAGCTCGGGGTCAGGGGCTGAGTGAGAGAGGTGCAGGGCAGCTCCGCACCACCGCGCTGAGCAGGGGCCGGGGGCAGGGGGTGGTGTGAGCTGTCGTTCAGGGGTTAATGGCAGACTGACCTCTAGCCAGCAGCTCTAAAGGTGCTTTCACCTCCCCACTTTGTCAGCTTCTTGAAGCGATGGCCGTTGTTATGACACACTTCACACAACAGGCTGGCTCCACAAGCCTTTTTTTCACATTCCAAAGCCAGGACCTCTGTCAGCAATTAGGAAAGGGTGCTAGCTTGTCATACTCCATCTAGGTTTTGTGCGGGTTTCCATTTTCTTTGCTTTCATCCGTTTTAAGATGGAAAGATGTCGTATTTTATGGAGGAATACCTGGACGTTAGCACTCAGCCATGGATTACTATTTGGAAGAAGGTAAGATGGATTTCGGACAGGAGAGACCAGGGTTTGTGATCTTGAGTTGGTTGTTGTTGGTAGCACATGAATCTCATCCGGTTTAAAGAAACGTGTCAATACTTTTGTACAAGTTCAGTTTTTTCTTTCGCTCGGGTAGTTAAAGGCGGGTGATATTGAAGAAGTCCAGCTGGGTTAACGTGTACCGCACAAATACGCACATGTACACGCAAACACAAACAAAAGGCTTATTCATTATTCCGGGTTCTGGAATTCCGGAACTTGGAGTCATGAATACCGCTGGGAAACAGGACGTGTGGAGGAAGGAGAAAGGACATCATCAGCACACATTCCAGTGACACACACAGCAATAAAACAATAATACGCAGCACACACTTGTAAATAGGACTTTCGAACAATGTGAGTAGTTGCCTGTTGATTTTTAGTGTTGTGTGTCATGTGTCATGTATTATTTGTGTTTTGGTGTTCAATATTCTCTTAAATTCAAATTAAAAAGGTTTATTCCCATGACCAATAAATTACCTTGATGCAAAAGCAGTATCAATTAGCAAAACATTGACAAAGATTTAGTGTAGCGGAGCTCGTTTGGACACGGTGACGTCATCGCCCTCCCTGCGCGTGGCAGGGACCTCAGCTGCCTGGGCTCCCTGTTGCGTTACGCCGGAGACCCGGGTTCGCGTGCCAGGCATTGCAGGAGGGAATGGGCGGTGTGGAGCGGTGGAGGGCATGAGCCTGCGAGGAACGCAAGTGGTCATGTTAGAACAACAAAATATTCT